TATTTTTATTTCTTTCATATTTTATGTCGATAGTAAAAGTCGAGGAAATTCGGGATACACGAAGAAAGACACTTCCTCGTTTATATGACGGTTTAAGCCACAATTTTTTTTCATAGAAAGGTTCAGTTACTTATTTTTTGTCATTTTTGTTCTCATTTGAACGTGCAATAAGCCCAATGTTTATTTTCAAGCACAAAATCAGTTAAAATTCGAACTTTTGTTTACCTCTCAACAAGCTCCCATTTTGTTTTCTTCGCACCGAACTTTTCTAACTCAGCCCGGAGCTCTCGAATTGTCATAGCACCACAATTTGATGCCATGTTTCAAAATATTTACTTTTACACGTCTGCTTTCTTCGATTTCGAACTAGAGAATGATACTGAAGATAAGCCATCACTGCCATTCTTATCAGATTTGTGTTGGACCGCATTTTCCTGTGGCGACGTCTATCGGTACAAGATAAGATAACTCACGCCGGTTCACCATTACCTGTGCATATATAGGTCATGCACCAGCTCATTTAAAACAAGACTCGAACACAATAAAAATTTCATGAGATCAGTAAGATGTTAAAGCACAACTTTATAATCGATAGTCATTCGAAATATTTACCGTTTTTGAGATATAAAGCAAAAACTTTCAAGGTCCCTTGACCCCTAATTATAGGGGTCAGCCCCTTTTGAATATTGTTATATGAAAGCCCTTGAAATTATGTACAACTTTTGTTCATTATGTCTTAACAAAATATTTTTAGTTTTCAAGATAAAAAGGAAAATATATGTAAATTTTCGCTCTTGTAGGCGATCTAATTTTTGACCCCTATATAGCGCAATTGTGAATACAGAAATCGAAAAACAAAAACCCATGTGCACAACTTCAATTCTTCTATTACCTAAAATCAGTAGAAATTCTGCTCCAGCTTTTGTGGTCTCTGAGCCTTTATCCGGAAACGAAAGCCTATAATTTTTTGTTTAAAGGGGAATAACTCAAAAGCGGAAGTGAATTTTTGAAATGTTAGATATTACTCTGATAGAGTTTAATAATGTCAATAATGTCTGAAAATTTGAGCGAAATCCGTTGATAAATGAGTGAGATATGAGGCCTCAAAGTTGGCGTCTAGGAAGTAGAAGAAAAAAAAAAGAATAATAATCTTTACCAACAGAATCAGTAGAAGGTCTTCCGTTGGAAACGGAAGACCTTAAATATAAAATAAAATAAATAATTTATATTAAAGTAGAATTTTACACATGAAAAACCTTGCATTAAAGTCAAATAATTTAAAAGCAATGAAGGCCTCTGTTTTGATAGTTTATCTAATTTAGACATAATGAAAGCATTTGAACAAAGATGGTTTTAAAAATATTGGTTTTGTAAACATTTCAAACTTAAAGCATGCTAAATGACGTTCTGTTTTTAATTTATGAATTTTTTCATTTAAACATATCACATGAGTTAAGCCATTACATTTTTGATTTCGATTCATGGATAAATATTTCGGTATCAAATACACTTTTCTAAGATGCGATAAAGGTAATTTTTGACAAAAAATGAAAAAAATGTACCAAATGAACCTGCAAACCTGTGTCGGAGACGGAAAAAATATAGTGGAATCAATAATTTGAAGAGTACTTCATGAAAATTAATATGATGTTAGCAGAGGTTTGAATAAGAAAATTACACAATACAGTTAGTAATACGCATGATATGGAAATAATAATCTCACGCCAGGTCAGACAACTCCTCCTTTAAAATAAATACGTATTTTACCCCTCTTCTTTTTTAAATTCCCAAAGCAAGAGAGAGATTGTTACAAAAAGCCCATTGTGCATAAGATTTTAAATTGCTGCTTATTCCTCCATGGTGATTGATCCAACCACTGATGTTTTATAGGTTTCTGATCCTGCTTTGTTTTGTTTTAATGGACTTTTGAACTTCAATTATGCTCGTTATCTCGATATATCATTGTATAAAGTATAGTGAAATTTAAACATTAACAGTAAACATGAATTATTCAGCAGGGGCCCGTTTTACAAATGAACTTTATACTAAGATCAAAAACTTACGATAATTGTAAAATTTTGCAAAATTATTTATTTTCTTTGAAATTGTATAGAAATATCTCACCACATTCATTTTAAAAAAGTTTAAAATAATTTTAAATATAATGTTATGTGAAGAGTTAAACTTGCTCTTAAGTCGTAAGTCCTTATATAAAATGGCCCCCTGAACTGCTTGGTCACAGTAGTCAAGTAGTTGGGCGTTCGCGTCATGACCGGAACGTCCAGGTTCAATTTTCGTTTGCTGTATGAGTCAAACATCGATAGTGACTGTTTATTTGCATAGAGACAGGTACTAGAAGTGAAAGTTAAAAAGAATTCTGAATTTCTGGTTGGCGATATCTATGCACTTTACACTTCACTTTGATCATGATAGGTTTTCCAAACATCTATGGGTTTTAATAAGTACCCTGTTATAAGAAGACCTTTGTGTATCAAATAAAGCAAAATTTCTCAAAACCTTACACATGAGAAGAAAAAAAAATTTCAAATGGTACATATCATCGGATTTTTTCTTTGATCTTGCTGTTGTGATATTTCCCGTATCATATATGCGATAATACTTCCCACACCTCATCATACATCACGTCACGAGACATCTATCGTTGGAATAAACATAACAAATTTTAACGATACTCTACTCAAAGTTTAAGAACAAAATGAATTTAGAAAAAATAAATAAAACATACTGTTTGCAAGCGATCTGCTAAACAAAAATCATCGAAGTATAAATAAATCACAATAGGTCAAGCGTTTTAAAAAAAAAAAATCATCAATTTATATACCTGATCATGACAAGAAGCATACGGCAGGTGTGACCCGTCAGCAGAGGATGCTCACCCCTCCATGGCACCTGATCCCACCTATGATGTTTATGAGGTTCGTGTTTGCTCTGCTCCTATTTTGTATTGTTTTATGGACTTTGAGATTGTTCGTTATCTCCATATCCTTGTTCATCACCTGCATACGGACTTTGTATGTCTCAGTTTATCTCATTTGATTCAATACGCAAGAGTATATGTATGAACAATTCCTAAAACGCTGCTTGAGATAAAATATACCCCAGATTCTGATACATCTGTTTCGTATTAGGATATTTTACTTGAAAAAAAAAAACGTTTATTGTAACAACAAAATTCAATGATAAACGTGATGACTTTATTTTTTCTATCGTCAACTTCTCTTACTTATGCAGCAAGATACCTTCATCACCTGCATTATAGTTTATATATCTCAGTTGATTCGATACGCAAGAGCATGCTCTACATATGAACAATTTCTGAAACGTGGTAAATTATTGACAAACAAATTGATTAACCAAGAATATCAGCAGTCTCATTTAAAGCCATCATTTCATACGTTCTATCGTCGATACAATGACCTTGTCAGGAAATACTATTTTTAGATTGCAAATACAACTCTTAATTGAGTCACTTGCTGACTGATACTTTTCAACTATTTGTAAGTGCCTTATTTATATATTGAATCGACGACGGGGTTTTCCGTTATTTTTCGATCATTACAAGGAGCATAAGACGGTTGTGACCGGTCGGCAGGGGATTCTCACTCTTCCACGGCTCCTGATCCACTTCTAATGTTTAATTGACTTTTGTAATTAGCGTATAATTTGATATACAGTTTCATGGGATGTGAAAATCGATGGCTTGGAGCATCCGAGATTTTCACGACCCGTGAAGCTGTATTATTTTTAAAAAGGTTTAAATGATGCTCGAATTCTATGATGTAATCTTTACTAGTTACTTGTTAAACCACATTCTGATTGAAAACACAAGTACTCTGAAGTTGACATCAAGAAGATGCTTGAGTTTCTGATTGACAACATCTATGTGGTTTTTGGAGACAAGGTATTCCAACAGTCTATTGGAATTCCAATGTGTACCAATTGCGCTCCGTTTTAAGCAGACTTATTTCTATATTCATATGAAGCAGAATTTGTGCAAAATCGTATGCGTGAAAAGAAGAAAAACACTTGCTGTGGCCTTTAACTCGACATTTAGATATATCAACGACGTACTGTCAATTAATAATGGTAATTTCCATTCCTATGTCGATACGATATATCCTGGTGAGCTTGAGATAAAAGATACCACAGAGTCCAACACTTCTGTTTCATACTTGGATATTTTGCTTGAAAAAGACACTAATGGTAATCTAACAACCAAGCTATATGATAAACATGATGACTTTAACTTTTCTATCGTCAACTTCCCTAACTTGCGCAGCAATATACCTTCATCACCTGCATACGGAGTATATATATCTAAGTTTATTCGATACGTAAGAGCATGCTGTACGTATGAACAATTTCTAAAACGAGGGAAATTATTGACAAGCAAGTTAACGAAACAAGAATATCAGCAGTCTCGTTTAAAGTCATCATTTCGTAAGTTTTATGGTCGATTCAATGACCTTGTCAGCAAATACAATTTATCATTGAGTCAAATGCTGACTGACGTTTTTTATACCAATTGTTAGTCCATTATTTATACAGTGAATTGACGACGGATTTTTGCCGTTATTTCCTGATCATGACAAGGAGCACACGGCGGGTGTGACCGGTCGGCAGGGGATGCTCACTCCTCTATGGCACCTGATCCCACCTCTGATCTTTCGGGGGTCCGTGTTTGCTCTGCTCTTGTTTTGTATTGTTTTATATACTGTGAGATTGAATACTGTTCGTTATCTCCATATCCTTCTACCGTTATTAAGGCGTCCAAATGCCCCGCTTTAAAGGTTTTAATATGTCAACTGTCGTAAATAGGAGTTAGCTATCTAGTGAGGAATCATTTTGACAACTCATGATAATAATCAATTTTAAATACGATTATGGGATTATCATCTCTATGATCCAATGTTAAAGGTCTCTGCATCGTTAGCGCCAACTTATTGAACATTCAAGTTATGTTCATTGCTTTTACACTAATGGTCACTTCTCAGGTATAGACTGAAACATCTGAGCTCTCCTAACCTTGCAAGACAGTAATGCAATTTTTTTGTTGTTGAAATTTTGACTTTGTGCTATAGCGTATTTAAACTAAAAGATACCAAAATACCAAAAGCTATAGGCTAATATGTCAGTTATTTTGTGAGGGAACTCTCATCAGTTGCTAGTCCCAAATGTTTTATTTGGCATTTCTACTCTGACAACACCTCTGTTAACTGTATAATTTGATTTAAGTCACCAAGAAAGTACCAGTTTCCTGTTGTAGACATACTCTAAAGCTAAGCTCAGAATTGAATCACTGTATATGTTAACCATGCCAGGATTTCAGAGACATATATTTGTTAAAGAGTCAAATAAATATACAATGAATCTAAAGTAAGGGAGATACGTGTAATTAAAATAATTAGAGGACCTATATCTGTCTCCAGAGTACATGTTCATCTTTGTCATGCATTGAAGGCAAATGTTTAATGGAATGTCTGTATTTCCTTTACGTATTGCCTAGAAAATCTTGTTTGAAATATCAGAGGAGGGTTGAAACATTGCTGGGATATCAAACTTAAAACAGAGTGATTTTTGTTTCAGATATCGGAGTAGGGTGGCTGTTAAAATTGTTGCATAGATATCAAACTTTAATAACAGTTTAAATACAGAATTATTTTTGTTTTAGATATCAGAGGAGGGTCGAGGTGTTGCTGGGATTTCCAACATGTTGACAATCAGTAGAATCCACAATGCTTTGTCATCAGCCTCTGGGATGAGAAGGTATTGCACAAACAACTATTTAAGGTAGTCCGATCCTCAGGATCATAAAATTAGCAGTCAAGTAATCAAAAATACTCATAAAAGTATCTCTGAATCCACTAAGTTATGTAAATTTATCCACAGTATTTCTTTATAGTTAAAGATTAAAGTTAATCATATCATATAGGGAAACTTGTCAAATCTCCAATATTTTTGCCGGAAAAGCGAATTGGAATATCAGCAATACATTTTCTAATTACAAATTGATCCACAAATATATTTTAGGTTAAAAAACGATAGGTATCCAGGCATTCAGAGAAATTGTCATGATTTTTATACTTATTAGGTATTTATAATCTTCTATTTCCGTCATGTTTTCTATATTACATGGTGTAAAACTCTTTTTCTATCATTGCAAGACACCACAAATCACTTCTTATTTCATATCATGCTAATAAGCATTGGTATCTCAGGCTGGATTCAAGAAAATCATTTTTCTCTAAAACTGTATTATTTTTTCCCCTTTTATAGAGTACAAATGTCAAATTCATAAGAGCTTTTTTAAGACTTCCAAAAACCTTGAATCTTAAAGATGAATAAAATGAAAATTGTTGCAAGAAAAAATTCTTTTTTCAAGCTTCATTTTGATGCATTTCAAATTAATTATCGATTTTGGAGTTATCCTTCCTGGCTGAGGATCGGATATCCTTAAACATTTCATATTATCCAAAAATTTTTGAAAAGAAAAAGGGTAATTTTTTGTTTTCAGAATTTTGAGTATGGCTCGGGATTATTCCACTAGGAGGACAGCCTTTGGAGATTATCTTAAGAACTACCCCCTCCACGTTCAGACTCTGGCCCGGATGGAGGTGGAGGTGCGGGCGGCCACTCTACTCGTGCTGGAGGTCGCTCGACTACTGGGGAGGGAGGATACTGGAATAGCCAGTGATCAGGAGGCTCTTATATTAAGATTACTTACTCCTCTAGCCAAATTATACATTGCTAAACAGGTATAAGTAGTATAAAAAAGATGATGTACATGTAGCATAAAAATACTTCCTCTTTTGTGACTTTCTCAGAATCTGTAAATGTTATTTGATTATCTGTCTGTCAATTGTGTATCAATTACTGATCTACAGCTTGGGAATTTCACATTCAGCTATACATGTACATATTCACAAAAATTACTACCTTATCTTTGATTCACAATATGCACATGGAATTCCAATAGTTTGGATTTAGTAACACAATATGACTTTATTGTAGGCCTTTATTACTTTATGAGTGGTCAATATAAACATTTGATGAATTATTTCTCACGCAATGTTTGTGGTTTTTGGAGGTCTGGAGTGTTTTGGAGGTCAAGGTTACATAGAGGACACAGGACTGCCAGGATTACAGGTGAAGCGAATAATTATGTTAAAGTGTTCAGAACAGTAATATCTATACATGTATATAGGGTCTAATAACTTAATGTAAATGAAATAAATGTAAAAATCATTTCATTCAGCATTCATTTGTGGGATGATTTTTCGTTGTGCATGTTCATTATCAAATGAAATGTACTTACCTAAAAAAGACAATTTAAAAAAAAGTTTCATTATTAAAAACATTTTTTTTATTTCATCCATCTTTTCAAGCAAAATTTAAATTCTATTCATGTTCTCTCCCATATTTTTACCATAACTTCAAATTTATTTTGTATTGTCAAGGGAAATACCAAAAAATATTCAGAAATAGTGTTGTGAAATCTAGACATTTACATTCAAGCAAAGTTCAGGTTTTTGTAGTCAAAGTAAATGATTTTCACAACTAAGAGAATCTTCACCTATTGATAGAAACATATTCTCAATTTTCACTATCTGACACTTCTACACACATTTTGTTTTGAAGGTGCTGACAATCTGGGAGGGGACGACCAACATCCTGTCTCTAGACGTACTGAGAGCCATCACAAAGTCACGGGGGGAGGTGCTGGTCGCCTTCCATGAGGATGTCATCTCCAAGGTTACCAAGGTCAGCAGGGTCCAGGAGTTAAAGGATCAAGGTCACAGAGTTAAGGAGGCAACCTTACAGGTCATGAACTTTGTACAGAAAAACCCAGATAAATTAAACATGGCTGCCAGGGATCTAGCCTACAGTCTGACCAGGATATACATGGGCATGTATTTTATAAAATTTTTACCATATTAAATAAATGCATTTTACATATTAAGATGGGGTCAGGAATATACTTCCCTGACCACATCTGAGGGCAATATCTTGGGAGACACAATGGCCTAATTGTTATATAGATAAAAGAAATGTTTTATAATAAGCAAAGGAATATATTTAAATTTTTTTTAATCAGGTCTCAATTTTTTTTTTACTTGCTAATAAAATATGCCTTTTGAAAATTCCTGAACCATCCAAAAAATAGTTTTGTAGAAAAAGAAAATGTTTTTTTTAGTATGTAAACTTTTAAAAATAAAAAAAGGATTCATGGTAAAATCCTTTAGAGATTAAAATTAATCATCATAACTAGATAGTATATACATTGCATTAAAATCATCAGAAACTTGTATCCATTCAATTTTCAAAGTATTTGTTAGTTGTTATGCTTACTTGTTTATGTCTATTTGTAAATGTTGCAAGGCATCTTATAAAAAATCAAAATCGAATGGATTACATTCATTGATTATAGTTTTATAATGATGTAATATTTGATGTAGGTGCTCTTCTCCTTGACCATGCAGTAGAGTGTGGTTTGACACAGACAGACACACAGACAGCCCGGCAGTGGTGTGAGAAAGACTTGACCCTGGTGGTGACCAATCACAAACTCGGCCATTATAATAGTAGTGAGGACGATCTCTCTCTGGTGTATCAACATTACAAGGCATAATTGCGGACACTTAGCCACTTGTGTGATATGAAAAAATAAAAAAACTTAAACTTTAAGATGTACTCAGGAAATCCCTTAAAATTACATTGAATTGACAGTGTGTTTATTTTCAGATGGAAAACAGGTGAGCAGTTAAACAGTTCAAAAGTGATTACTGGAGTTATCTTATTACATATATTCAATTTTTTTGGAATTGCATTATTTATCCAGAATTGCATATTTTTCATATTGTTTTTTTTTTTAAATTTATCAAAATGAAATTTTCATAAAAAAATGCAACACAAAGTGCTGCCTTTTGAATATCTATAAAAGAAAAAATATAATATCACAATATGCGTAATCTGAAAATATAGACTTGATGAAACCCCTATCCACATCCTTACCCTACCCTTTTTTACATTTAGAAATATTAAAGCCAAAAAAAAAAACTAGTAATTGTAGGCTTTTTAAAATTGATTTTATTAAGTAAGACATGAATGCTTTAAAAATTTTTATTCATTAAATAACAATACTATGTATAAAAATATCTTGTAAAATGGCATGTTTGTGTGACATCATAGCAATCAAGGAAAACAATTTACATAGACTAGGCATTTAATGACTTGTTGGTACTTGTAATAGAATTCATTTCTGGCTTGATGTAAAGAACTAAGTACTGTGCATGTCATTTCAATTCAAATCAAAGTATTTATAACATAATTTTGATATTCATATATTCCAATGTTCATGTTTTGGTAAAAAGAGATTTGCATGAAAATCAACCAAAGTTGTATACATTTTTTTCAAACATGGAACTCTTTAGGCAAGATGGAGCTTTTTGAGGTGTGCTTGCATTAACGAAAGTGTTCTACACAGACAAAATTAAAAAAATTTCACTTCATGATCTCAAATCAATAGGAATCTTCTTTAGGCCATAGGGAGATGTGTTCAGAAATTTTTAGATATCATCTGGAGACGATAGTGTTACACGCATTGATATCACATCCCATAACAGCTCCAGGCCAGATCTGTCAGACTCATTGGCTGATGTAAACTAATCTAATTGCTTAATATTTTTGTTGTTTGCTGTAAAATCAGTAATTTTTTGGAGGCAAATTTTTCTGGTTTGAGGAAAATTATTGATACCTGGAAAATAATTTCGTAGTTGATAGCAATGATAGTCAAACATTATACTTTAGTTTCAAATTTTAACCTTTTTGTTTAGAGGATATTCATTTGAGGGTTTTTTCTATACCCCAAAACAATGAAAATTATCTGTATCTATCTGCAAAATTACTGATTTCAAACTACTTTACACACTAATTAACGTGTCATTATTTCGACCAGAAAATGCAAATCAAGCATGTGATCGACTTAACATTACACAAAAACACCAAATATATATATACACATTATGAAGTAAAGGTGAAAAAGACTCTAACAGCCAAAAAAAGATGAATATCTGTGTACATCTCTCAACATACATACATTGAAATCTATAGGGAGTCATGATTATCATAAATATATAATTTATTTTATATATTTATGATAATCATGACTTCCTATAGATTTCAATATCATAAATATATATATATCGGGCTCGGTGAATATTGTACTCCTCATATGGCTAAATCATTGTATTGACCTCAAAAAACAGCAATAATTGTATAATATTTGACACTCAACATACATGTACCGGGATATAAAGTTTACATACACTGAAATCCTACGCGTCATGATTATCATACGTACATAAAATAAAATAAGGTTAACCCTTATCTCTGCTAAGCAGACTGTATTTTAAATAGTTAAATTAACAAATAAATTATAAATTTTTGCCAGGTGTCAAGATAAATTTAAACATTTTTAATAATAAAAGATAATGAAATAAGGTCCATTTAAAGTAATGACGTTATATAACACTTAAAATTTAAATCATCATACCAAACGGAATAAGATCTGAAAGCCATTGAGACACTCTTTAGTAATGAAGAATAGGTACATTCTTCTTGTGTTATACAAGAGAAAATTAGGGAGAATTATCAGCAAAGTGAAATATAATGGAAATGTTTCTATTTGCTAAAAATTATTCTAAAAGAATTAAAAACTTGAAATAGATAAACGCATAAAACACTGAGTTCTAATAAACTGTAACATAATGTTTCCCAGTATAAGAGCAATTTTACATAAAATGTACTCTGCCATATTTCTTTATCTCAAACCTTACTCTTTAACACTATAGACATCTCTCAATTTTATACAGAATACATACTGACATGTTTTCCTCACAAACCACTCTCAAACGCACTTGACATCTATCTGTTTTATTAAAAATTATGTTCATCGATTTCACACCTCACTCACTCTCACTTTAGACATCTAGTTTTACACAGAATATCTCCTAACATGTTTCTTTATCTCACACAAAACTCTTCTGTACTCAAAACCTATGTTTCTTTCTTGTGTATCCTTGCTGTTACCATACCTATTTACTAGTCTTTGTGTCATTTCAAGAACAGACAAACCTTCCCTGTCTAGCTTAGATTTAGAAGTATTTTTATTTTTATAGCACTTTACAATGGTATTAATGTCTGAGCCTGCCTCC